TTGAGAATTATTCAACTTGAGTTATTTATGAGTATAAATGATTTTTTATTTTTCAGGAAGGGTAAGCTAATTTATTTTACGGATTCCTTTCCTATTTATTATAATTTTATTCATAGACAAAACTTCGAATCATTTTTTCTCGAGCCGTACGAAGAAAAAAACTTCCTATACGGTTCCGGGGGGGTTCTTTTTCATCTACATATATCCCGATGAGCCGTCTTTCGAGTCGTTGCAATCCTGAAGAGAAGGAAGAGATCTTCGAAAAATGGGTTTTCATGATCCAATCACGAATCAAAAAGATTCATATTTTTATAGTTTACAATAAACACTTATTAGATAAATACAATAAATTATTAAAAAAATAGTTTATTTGTTATAAAATAATTACAATAATCTATTAAATATAGAATATTTAGAAGTCATAGTTGCACCATGGCTTTCCACATAATGCATAATGCATAATGCATAATGCATAATGCATAATGAATAGGGGGATTAGGTCATATTGGGTAGTTAATTGGAGACCATGTGCTCCAAACAACTAAATTAGGAAGCCACCATAGGTGTCCTCCTTTGTGAGAAGGAGAGGGGACAAATACAACTTCCTATTGCATCTCATTTTACCATAATGCCCCTCTTAACCAACTCATTATTGCTCTTATCTAAATTATTGTAATCCAAATGTTTTTTTTTTATCTTTTCTTTAGACATTATTCATAAGAACTTCATCACCCTCACATGGGTTTCTCATATCTTTATAAAAATAATTAACTATTTTTTACAAAAAAGTTTTTTTAATCTTTTGATCAGTATGGTTTTAAAAAGTTGACAGCATATATAAGACCTGAATCTAACATTGATAACAAGAACAACACAACAAATACATTATCATCTTAATTATATCTGTATAATTTTTTATCTGTTGAATAATAATATTCCTATTTTACCCTTGATTAGAAAGTGAATGAGAAGATAGAGTTGGTGATAATAACAAAGTTGCATTCCAACTTTCCAACTAAGCAAAGAAGGAGAAGCAATGTACACCCTTGCAATCCCTTCTGTCTTTCACACCTTGATGCTTCCATTTCCAACTTATTTCTCAATTTTATATTTCTTCATTTTCTAATTTTTTTAAATACGATTTATTAATAATAAAAATACGAACCAAAATCGTATACTGTTATTTCTAATAATCAGTAATAAAACAAAATACAAACTTAAAATAAAATGATACATATTTATTTTGGAAATACATGAATAAATGATTTTCTTATGCCTATGAAAACAAAGAGAATATTTCCAAGTCTCCAATGATATCAATTTAGTCTACAAGATTCTTGTCTTGGTTTTCTAGACAATTCATTAATCTTTAAACAACTGTAAATAAATATGATTTATTAAATTCAATTTGTAAAGTTAACCAAATAAAAGGTGTATTTAAATATGAATCACAATGTCTTTTTTTTTTTTTACGGGACGACGCTGGTTAGAAAGATCGGATCTGTAGAAAATTACAAATAAAAAGGTGTATTTAAAGAATTTTTTTGTGAGTCATCCGGCGTACCATATCAGATTATTTTTGACCTATAGAACCTAGCATACTTCTAGAAGCCCTTGATACCTTTTAGGAACCATAAAAGTCGATGTAGTAAATATGTTAGACCTGTGGGGATGGTTTATTAGATAAGGCGAACGGGTTGAAATGTGTCTACACCGTATTGTTGTTAAATACAATAAGTGTCAGTGTCATCATCGGTAGCCTTAATGGTGGTTGTGCTTGAAAACGTCAACATACAACAATGCTACAAAAAGACCCTCCTCCTTTATTAAGATGGTCGTGTTAAGTCATTTCAGTTATTTTTGCTTACAACAATCTTTTTAACTCACTCATTAAATTACGGATTTTATTTGTCCATTTTGGTTTTGATGTACTTACATTTCGAAAACAAAAATAAAGTATAAGGTTACATAATTTAATGAAAATTTGAAATTAAAAAGGAACTTTTTATAAAAGATGTTTGAAAAATATTTGTGAAAAATACATCAAAAACAAAAGGACCAAATCAAACCAACTGAGTTGAATACATCTTATCAGGAGGTGGGATCTAGAGATTAAATTAATGTAGACTTTGTTATGTAAAAAAAAAAATGTATTAAAATATAATAAAGTTTACTTCAATTTTTAATTTGTGTAACGATTAATTTGATAACCATTCAGTTCTTTTAAATTTCATACTCATTTCCTAATAATTGCATTTTCAGTACGCGTAATATTTGCTGATTTTGATGTCAAGTAATCAAGAATTAGAATACAGCTTGTCAATTTAACATCCACGTCATTAGTAATTAAAAAGTTTAGAACATCTTCAACAAAATTTCTCAATTTCTCTCAAATAGCGAATAAAACTTTAAAATCTATAAAAAAAAAGGTATAAAAATAGAGTATATAAAATATTTTAAAAAATTACATTTAACTCCCTCAACTAATACATTCTATAAACATATTATTCTATTTATATTTTTTTTATAAAAGTTTAATACATTCAACCTCATTGGTAGAAAATGATATATATATATATATATATATATATATATATTATCAATTTAAGTATTAAAGAATATTTTAAATTTGTAGATTTCTATTCTTTTCCCATCTATTTTGGCATTAGCTATTGGAGAAAAAAACTTTTAAATATCCAAAATCTCTACTTTAACATGGCTATTAGAGATGCTCTACCAGTCAAAATGGTTAATGAAATAGAAAAAATGGAACTGATTAATGAATAAAAATTGAAATCACAATACATAAAAACAGAAAAGATTTTATTAGAACATATTCAACAACTATGAAATAGGTTTTCTAAAATATAATATCCAAAGTCAAAATCTTGAAAAAAAAAATATTATAGTTAACTCCAACAGTTATTCTATTTTAGAAATTCTAGCACTAACTATATTATTAAGACCGTCTCAAACAATTATGTTATATTTTTTTTCTAAATAAAATATCAAAAGTCAAAATCTCTAAAAAAATTGCATCTAACTCCAACAGTATCTCTATTTTAACAACTATATCATTAAATATATTATTTAAACAAAATATTATTTTTTTTCTCGTAAACACTTAATTTCAATATCTCTTATTGGCGAGAAATACGTAAATATTATTTATCTATCTTAAATACAGAGTTTTAGAGATTTTTTCAAATTTGAAGATTTATACCATCCCTCTATTCTTTTCTTTATTTTAGCATTTCTTTGGAACAAAAATATATCCAACATTGAATTTTAGCATAGTTGTTGAAGATGCTCTAAGAAATTAAATGCATTTAAATAAAAAATTACTTATTGTTTTGAAAATTTATTTTCAATACCTCTTATTGGTGGATAAGAATGAAATATTTCAGTGTATTGCAATTTTGGCCCTTGTGGTTTGTTGTTTTTTCTTGGTTTTGGTTCCTACAAAAAATTTATTGCAAGAAAACCCTCGTAGTATACAGAAGTGCTTGATTTGGGTCCCTGAAGACTAACACCATTAAGAAAATTTATTAAGTTAAAGATATTGTGGTCGTTTTAATTTTCTATAAAATATTCAATTTCCTAAAAAAAATAACAAACCATAAGGACTAAAAATGCAATTTACTCAAAAAAATTATAAAGAAAACATCATATATATAGAAGCCGAAAAAAGCCACCCCTCTCTTGTTCCGATTATGCTCCAATGAACAAAAAGGTTCGATCACAGTTAAACCAGATTAGTGGAAGGCTCGCATGAACAATTCAAGTTCTTTGGTGATCACCGATTTAGAGACGTGGTAGATTACGAGCTCATTCATGGCCGTTGTGCCTTGTGTATAGAATGTGTCTAGCCCCTATGACGTCGGTGAATTAGATTTTGGTTTTATGTGAAGTTTACCATTTTTGTGATTATGAGAAAGATAACGGTGAATTAGATCTATAGAAGTAAGAATGTGATTGAGTGGAAAAACTTAATTGTATTATTACTTGTAGGTGTGTGTGTGTATATATATATATATATACATCTAGAGTAAATCGTAACCTATAAAACTAAATCGTAACTTACAATCAAGTGATTATGGGAAGTTGGAGGGCAAACCATTCTTTCGCATCACTGGATGTGTGTGGAGATGCGGGAAAGGATGAAGTGGAGAAGGGGAACTCATGTTTGATGAATTTAGCATGACAAGAGGCATATATCTTGTTACATCTAGAAGACATCGATATTCCCCAAAAAACCACCTAGTTCGACTTCACTACAAAACCATCAAGTGACGGTGAATGTTCACATCTTTAGCCACCGTCTCCCCCCCCCCCCTGTGACCCCTTCTCGTCATTATCTTCTCTGGCCACACCTCCAGCCACCGTCTTCTCTAGCCACACCTTTTGTTTTGACGCATGGAAGCAAACGCTCCAAAAATGGGTGAGTGGAAGCCGAAGATGAAGACGAGGGGATGGAGAGATCAAGAGTAAATTGCATTTTTGGTCCTTATGGTTTGTTAATATTTTGAGTAAATTGCATTAAAAATAGATTAAAAAATAAAATGATTACAATACCCATGTTTTAACGAATTCTTTTATCGGTGTTAGTCCTTAGGGACTCAAATCAAATACTTTTGCATACCATGAGGGTTTTCTTGCAATAAATTTTTTGTACAGACCAAAACCAAGAAAAACGACAAACCACAAGGACGGAAATTGCAATTTACTCTAAATATTACTTGTATATCATACATAAAAGAAAATTCTAGAGATTTATTTGAATTTAGAAAATTTCAATATTTCTCGGTATGTTATATTTTTCTTTAAATTTTTAAAACAACGTAACTTAACTGTTAGAAATGTATTATTTTCTGTATCATAACATACAATTTAATATATAAAAAATAATAATTTTGACAAAAATAAAAAAAAACATTCCAAGTTGAAAATAGCGTGAGATGGAGTAATTTAAAACATTGCAGCCACCCCCTGGCTTCCATGGTCTCCGGTTCCTTTTATTACATGAGAAGAGGGTTCTTCTCCTTCTCCTTCTCCTTCTCCTTCTCCTTCTCCTTTTTCCCTCTTGTCTGCAATCTATAACAAGAGATCTTTCTACTCTATCAACACCATTATTACAACACATAAATCCTCTTCTTTCTCTCTTCATCATCTATCTACCACCAAATCAGACTCTTCTTTATATAACTAAAATCAACAGACTGAATTTTGCCCAAAGGGGGCGTCTCTCGCCCTCTCTTCTTACGTCTCCAATCAGATCTTAGATTTTCTTTTCTTTTTCTTACCTGGGTGTCGTCACTTGGTAAAATTACGACTATCACCATCATGGGTTGTTCATATTTCTCATCAATTTACACTTTCCAATTCTAAAATCAAAAACTTGATTCTCTTGTTGTAGGAGTTTCCGCTTTTCTGGCTTGATCAACTATCGATCTGCGGAAGATCCGATGCTTTTTGATTGAATCCAAGAATACCCATTTCTTAGTTACAAATTAATCCGCTAACTTTCTGGTAAATTTCTCACCTTTCTATGTCTTGTTTTTAGTTAATCTGCATCCTGATGTTTATGTAGGTAAGGTGTTTGATTGATGAACTCATAGAATCCGACTTATACATGCTATGCATCTGGGTACTCTATTATATATTATGTATAATATGGTTCCGACGAGATCTGTGTGTCTTGGGATTCTTTTGAACTTCGTCTAATTTTAGTTGATGAAATTTCCATCTTGCAAATTGAATTCTTAATTTTGATGCGATTAATGTTAGGCTTGTGCAAAATGGAAATGGACCATGGGAAGTTGTTCATTGGTGGGATTTCATGGGACACCAATGAAGAACGTTTAAAGGAGTATTTTCAAACCTTTGGTGAAGTAATTGAAGCTGTAATAATGAAGGACCGAACCACAGGCCGTGCCCGTGGGTTTGGCTTTGTTGTTTTCTCAGACCCTGCTGTTGCTGAAAGAGTTGTGAAAGAAAAGCATATGATAGATGGTAGAACTGTAAGTTTTTATATATACATATGATCATGCCTTATGGTCTTAATCTCAGCCTAAAGTAATTGAACTTATTGCTAATCTACTAAAACTATTGCATTGTCCATATGTGTTGATGGCCAAGTGTTTGTTTCTTGATTTCAATGAGTGATTTCAAGAAACTGACTGCACGATTGTTTGCATTTCGATCCTTAGGTAGAAGCAAAGAAGGCCGTTCCAAGGGATGATCAGCAAATTCTTAACAGGAGCAATGGGAGCATTCAGGGATCGCCAGGTCCCACTCGCACAAAAAAGATTTTTGTAGGAGGGTTGGCATCATCGGTTACTGAAAGTGATTTCAAGAACTATTTTGACCAATTTGGGATAATCACGGATGTGGTTGTGATGTATGATCACAACACTCAAAGGCCTAGAGGTTTTGGATTCATCACTTATGATTCAGAGGAATCTGTTGATAAGGCTTTGCTTAGGACTTTCCATGAACTCAATGGTAAAATGGTGGAAGTCAAACGTGCGGTTCCAAAAGAGGCATCTCCCAGCCCTAACCGGAACCAGATAAGTGGATTTAACTATGGTTTAAGTAGAGCTAATAGTTTCCTTAATGCTTACACTCAAGGGTATAATTATAATCCAAGTTATGGAGCAAGAGTGGATGGTAGATTTAGTCCGGTTTCTGTTAGCCGGGATGGGTATCCACCATTTAGTCCTTCTAGCTATAATGTGGGACTTAATTCTGATTCAGTTTTAGGTATGAACTATGGTGGAAATGGAAACTTTAGCTCTAATCTTGGATATGGGCGTGCGATCAATCCTATGTATGGTGCAACTTCAAATAGATATGTTGATCCAATTGGGTATGGCATGGGAGGAAGTGGTGGTGGTGGTGGTGGTAATGGTAATGGTGGAAATGTCTCTTTCTTGAACTCAACTAATCATAACATGTGGGGGAATGAAAGCCAACGTTTCACTACAAATTCACCACATTTGAGCAACTTCATGGCTCCGGGAAATGGGTCTGGTGGGATTGGAGCGATTTGGGGTAATGCCAATAGTAATACTAGCGGAGGTGGTGGTGGTGGTGGTTTCGTTGGTAGTAATCTAAACTATGGCAATGGAGAGACTACTATTGGGTATAGGAGGAACAATAATAATAGCATTGCACCAGCCTCTTCATATGGTGCATTTGATGATGGGGAAATTGGTGGTGGTAACTCATATGGCACTGGTGGTGGTGGTTCAATTTATGCAGACTCCACTTGGCGGTCATCATCTCCTGAGCTGGAAGTACCTGGTTTATTTGGTTATAGTCTTGGAGGTGGAGCTTCAGATGATCTACCAAAAAACTCAGTTGGCTATGTTGGTTATAGTGTCACAAATAGATCAAATAGAGGTACATATCTTTCTTTTCACATTAGATATATGTGGCTATCTGAATGTATACTTATTGATGGAAATAGACATTTTAGTTTGAAAGTTTTGGCTCATAGAGTACATAAATGGTACTAGAAAGAACAAAACAAATGATCATAGATGCAATAATACAAATACGAAACAAGCTTATACCAAGATTTATGTTTTTCTCTTTTGCGCACTTTCACAAGCCAGGAGTCTCCATGGAAACAACGGCTCTATTATTTGAAGTTGAGGTCAGGTCTGTCTGCATTTTACCCCTCCCAGTCCCCACCTCCCAGTGGGATATAATGGTCTGCGTTGGTTTTGGATACCAAGATTTGCCATCTTACACCCCCTTGCATATAACCAAACCAAAGCAAAAGATCCCACTGTATGTATGTAGGGTCTAGGGGGTGAGATGCATGCAGACATGTGGTTGACAATTTGGCAATTTAGTTAATGCGCCACCATTGATGACCTATCCCCATAGTAGGATTTGAGAAGGGGTAAGTAGTTATCATAAACTATGTATCATGTCAAATATTGCGAGTTCTCATACAATCTAATGGAAAGATTAAGACTAACATGTATTTGCTTCAAATAAAAGCTATACAATTGCTAAAACCTATGTAATGTAACATTTCTGTATTGTCAATCCATTTATTTGCAAGCTCGGAAACAACCTCTTTGTTTCTTGTGACAAAGGTATCCCTACCTTTTGGTGGAATATACTGGGTTTTTATTTGTTCTTTTTATATGATATGAGAAGAATGATATAGGTTTGTGGATCTTATTTGGTTGGTGCAATGAAAAATGAAAACCAGTATATCTCACACAGAGGTATGGTCCAGACAGATAGGATGTATGTAGACTTTACCTCAGTTAGTAATGCATCACACCGACATAATTTGTCGATTTCTCTAAGCTAAGCTGCAATCTAACATGATTCATATATTGTGGTTTTGATATGTAATTTTCAGGAATTGCTGCATAGAAAGATTGGTATCTGGAAACTTATAAAAGATTGGAGGATTGTGAATTTGTGTGAGCAAGGTACATCAGTTTTTAGAACAGCGTACATTTGGTTAGAGCTAATCTCGGAAGAACCTGTTTTTATAGAACAAAAATTACACGATTTGGTTCGAGTTTTTCAAAAACTAGACTTGTGACTTCATATGAGATATCAAACTTGGATTGCAGATATATATACTTATTGTCATTACTCTGGTGACATCAAGATTATATATATACATATGGAAAACAAGAAGGAAAAAAAAATATTCAAACTCTTTTATATTTCATTTTATAATTGATTTTTGTTGTATTTGAAGCTTTTTTTGTTTCTTCAGAAAAGTTGTAGGCTTTATAAGGTATGTTGGGGTTTTGTTGTTGGTTAGATTGTATGAAATGTTTGGTGTGAAACACTCTTGTTGGATGCTAAATTGGGATCCTTTTTTACAATGAAGTTGCTCTATATTCAATATATGTTTCTCTACCTTTTCATTCTTTCATGCTACTTCTTATTTGGAAATTTCGCGAAATCTAACTGTGATTTTTTTTAATATATCTCTGGATATCATACTTTTGAAACCCCATTTTAAATAAGATATACCAGATACGTCTGTTTAGATCTTATCGTAAATATCTTTTTGAACTATCGAGTATAAATTAACCATTATATTATTATAATATGCCTTTTTGTTAGTAATAAGTTCATTTTTCCAACACTATAATTGAAAAAAATAAATTGTTTTATATGGAAAAATTATTTTTTTAATTCTATATTTATTTATTATTTTGGAAACATAAAGGCTGTAAAAAGAAAATCCATTACAATTATACACACAAGTCTTTCAAGGAACCTCTAATTACACTCACACTCCCTAAAAGTTTCTCATAATTTTGCACCATACAAATAAAAAAAAGGAAACATATATTTAGCATGCATTTAATTGGAGACACTTTGAACACAAACTTTTAGACTCATTTTATAGTTATGGATAAGGGTGTATAGAAACTAAAGTTGTTCATGAGCGGGATAACACGTTAGATCCAGCCCATCCGGTCCGCTAAAAATACGGGCTTGGACAATCATTATCGAGAAAATAGGTGGGCCCGAGTTTGTTTGTTAAAATTAACGGGCGGACCTGGGCAATGTAAAAATAAATATGGACAAGTCCGCGCGGTCCGTATATGTTTTATAATTAATATTTTTTTTACCATTAATTAAAATTATAGTATTATACTAATATATTTGAAAGTTATATGTTATAGGATAAAAGTTGAAACTCTTTGGTTTTTTCTTGATCAAAACTTGGGTTGTTTGAAATTGGCAGTAGCATAATGGAGTCAAGAAAATGCATTATTGATTTTTTGAAAATCTGAATTTTGTTTTTCATTTCTTTCTCCACTTGTTGAGATCTATGTGTCACTTTAGTTGTTTAAAATTTTAATTGCAACGATGTTTTTTCTTTATTTTTTGGTTCCACATTTGTTAATTAATTGCTAGTGATCAAGTTTATAGATTTATAAGAGTTACATCTTTAGACCCGTTAACCAGTCGGCAAGCCCGACCCGTTTATAGGGTGGGCAATGACAAGTTGTCAAGCCCAGAAAAAAGGGGCTTAAGTTTACAATATTAGTTCCGTTGGACAAAAAAGATAAGTTAGGCCCAGGTCCGCTAATGATCACCTCCAATAGAAACTTGTAATGTCTAATTGAGATGTAAAGATTTTAAATTGTGGATATCAAGATATAATTGAGTTAGGGCCATTTAAAACCAGCTTAATCCAATGAATCCGATACCTTTCTATACATGAATTTATGCTATGTTTGGCAAACTAACTGATGAATAAATCATGTTTGACAAAACTAGTTAATAAGAATGTAAAATAACCAAAAATTGTATCTTGAAAAATTAGTCAATTATAATATTTCAAGATATAACTGAAACAAATCTATACTATATTATAAAACATTTGACAAAACTCTTAAAAACCACTTTTTATGCGT